ATCTGTTAGCGGAACCCGCCTCACATTCCAGCTATCCAGGGAACCAGGTGTGGCAACTTGTGACTTCTGGCCTACTCGTCTGAATGTAACCTGGCCTACGTGACCTGGAACACGCGGCAAGAATCCAGTTGCCCTGCCCCCCATTCCTTACCATATATAAACTGTAACCTGTCCCTAATAAACGGAGGCTTTGACAAATCTGCTTGGCCTCCTTCTTCTGTCTTAGCTCATTCCCTTCCAGGTAGCGCCCCTCCGAGACCCTGGAATAACTGATTGCAGGGTGGGTTACAAACCCCTAGACTGAGTAACCAACCCAAACGCAATCGACAGTGGCGCCTGATGACACAAGGCCTTTCTGCTGCCTGAAAATTAGGTGATGACCATCCAGAAAAGGCAAACATGAAAGAAGAACAAAAATATTGCACAATACCAATTAAAAACAAAACAAAACACTGAATTAAAACAACAGCAAAAACTTGACCAGTTGCTCAGGTCTCACTCAAGCAGTTTGCTTCCACCTTCCCAATGAGTAGATTTGTCAAGTCATTTGATGGGGTGTGCAGAACATGGCGGGGGTATTAAGAACCATGGACTATAAATAACCCACAATGGAGAACATCTTTTTTATGAAGTTATCCTAAAATTTTATAATATCAACTTAATTTCAGAATCAGATATCGCTTATCAAGAACACATGGCTTTTGACTGTGAGTATAGTTTCAATTAATTCAAAAATGTCAGGCAATATTCCAGACAAGATAATTTAAAAAGGCATGCATATTTTTCAGAGGACAAGAAATGCAGAAGACTCACTGGCAGCTAGGCAGGAGATACGTGCCAATGCCCTTCACTTTACCTTCCCTCTTAGCAGCCACACTTAACAAACAATATTCTTCCTCTGTGTTGATTAGCTACAAAATCTGACTCTTACCAATCTATAATTATAATATATTTTATTTCAGAATGTCTTCCACATGTATTGTGTGGGTGCATGCATGCTGTGGCATTTACGTGGAGCTCACAGGACGACTTTTCGGAGTCCGTTCTCTTACCATGTGGGTTCTAGGACTCCAACTCAGGTTGTCAGGCTGAGTGGCAAGTGAGCCACCCTTTACCCTCGGGGCCATTGTGCTGCTCCAACTGTCACTATTGCCAATGGCTTAAATCTACGGTTGTCATTTATGGATGTCCTGTCCCCCCAGAAACAAGACTACACCTACCTGATAGATCTTGGCATCTCTCATCAGCTTTTCCACAGGGTATTCTGAGTTGAACCCATAGCCTCCAAAAATCTGCACAGCGTCAGTCGCCACCTGATTGGAAATATCTCCAGCAAAGGCCTTTGCAATGGAGGCGTAGTACGTGTTCCGGCGGCCAGAGTCAACCTCCCAAGCTGCTCTCTGGTAAGCGAGTCTTGCGAGTTCAACTTTCATCGCCATTTCTGCAAGCAGAAATGAAACTCCCTGGTGCTAGATTTAAGGGAGAAAACAGTTAAAGGGGATCTACTGGACTTATTTGTAATTTTTTTCTTAAAACGTTTTTACTTTTTACTGCAGAGACCCGAGCCAGACTGGCCAGGTCTCCTACCAAATCCTGTTATCCATTTCAGGATCACAGACAGATTCTTGCTTTTTCATTTTTTCTTTCTTTCTTTCTTTCTTTTTTTTTTTTTTTTTTTTTTTGTGACAGGGTTTCTCTGTGTAGCCCTGGCTGTCCTGGAACTCACTCTGTAAATCAGGCTGGCCTCAAACTCAAGAGATCCACCTGCCTCTGCATCCAAGTGCGGGGATTAATGACATACATCATTGCACCCTGCCTCTTTTCCATTTTTAAAAGAGATTTATTTACTCATTTAATGTCCATTTGGGTTTTGCCTGCATTTATGTCTGTATGAGAGTGTCAGATCCCATGGTACTGGAGTTAGAGACAGTTCTGAACTGCTAGGTGGGTGCTGGGAATTGAACCTAGGTCCTTTGGAAGAGCAGCCAGTGCTCTTAACCACTGAACCATCTCCCCAGCCCCCTCTTTTCTATTTGAAGACAGTCTTGCTATATAGCTGACACTGATCTTGATCAAGACCTACCCTGCTGTAGTTACTACCTCAGAGAATCCCCCGCCCCCAGACCATGCAATTCCTGTCTTATCTCCTGACTTTTGCCCTTCTGAAGAATATGGATTTTTTTGGTAAGTTTCTTCTTGATTTGGCTTATCTACATTTTCCCATTCTTAGGATGAGGTCTTGGGTTCAGCTGCACAGATAACCAGGCATTCTTATGCCTCAAGCATCTGCAGAGATCCAGACATCACAGTGGGGGCCCGAATGAATAAAATGTGGGGCTGGAGCTAGCACCTGTTATCAGACAAGACTCTCTGAGCAGCCCACGTGGCCTCATACTTGTGATCCTCAGCTTCCGGAGAGGCTGGGATTTCAGGTATGTCTGCCAAGTTCAAAGGGAAGCTGTTACAGAGATGGAAAAATGCACATGATGCTTCCTGCTCTTGTCATAACCAAACGGGAGACGAAAACCAACCCTCTCCGAAGAGACGGCAGGTGCTGTGTCGTGACTGGCATGTAACACGTGTTACAGGTGGAAGGGTTGTAGTGTGTGCCACTATACACATCTTGTTTTTGATTAATGAATTAATTATCGAACAGGGTCTTGTTATGTAGTTCAAGCTGCCTAAAACGCTTACTGCCTGAGTCTACTGAGTGCCACCGCTCCAGACTTGGGGTTAATCTAAGGTGGCCCAAAGCAGGTGCGTTTATCAATTGCTGAAGGTGATTTACAGGAGTCACCTCGCTGCAGCATCTTCAACCCGCGGTAGCCGCTCTCCTTTTGAGTCTGGTAACTCCACTTCATAGGTTTCATCTGGGGACTTAAAAGCTGCTCCATTTCTTTGTGAGCACTTGCTCTATGAGGAGGAACTTATCTCCAGAACAGATGTTCTCAGGGGCAGAAACTGCCCAGCCTCCTTTGCACACGGAGAACAGGATCTGTAAATGATTGATCCTTTGGGTCCACGTCTTAGTGCTGTGGTTTATTAGCTGGGCCTGCTAGTAAATGAAAACGGCAGGGCCAGCTCCACGGCACTGGGGGAACGGAATGAGTTGGTATGTGCGGCAGATGTTCAGTGACACTTGTTAAGTGAGACTAAAGCTGAGGAAGTTTAATATAGAAACCCCACCTCACATGGAGCAGCGTCCAGGCGGGGAGTGAGGGCACACTCAGCACGCTGTAGGTGATGTAATGGGTGTGAAG